TCCCGGAGAAGGTAGGGAAAAGAGGCCGCCGGCCAAGGCCCGCGCTCAATTATAGCGCCCCTAGCTAGTCTATAAAGCATATAAAACATCCTGCGTTTATAAATAAAATCTCTCACCTCATGTTTGCGAATCAATAAGTACCATACACGCACACATTAAACTTCAGGATAAAGTTTGCGATGCGGGCAAGTAACCTTGAAAGACAGAAATGGAGGAGCAGGTGCCGAGAAGATTTGTCACGCTATATCCGTAAATATTCTCTTATTCTCTACGCGTAATAGAAGCTGTCGGTACTAAGATAGGTAGAAACTCAACTTGGTATTACTGTTGAGCCAGCACAAGTTCGTCTTCTTCCACGCTTAGATGACCCCTACCGCTGGCGCGCGGTGCCTGAGAAGCAACATTTGTTCTCTAAGAATCTTAGTGATCATTCGATCGGGGCATACAAATCTCTCTGTGACGGCATAGGGAAGACCTTCGAGGCTGTTCGTCCTGACGAATGGAGTACTATGCGCAATGGAGATGATATAGAAGCAGTTCTGGGAACGTCTATGTTACCAACGGAAGCAGACATCGGCTTTACTGGCAAGATATCGTGACTCTAAAAAGAAAATTCTGGCCTAAAGGCAGAACTTGAAACGTATAAAAGTAGTCTGTGTATAGAGCAGCAGAAGCGATTAGATTTGGAAAACACTGTTAACTGTTTACAGCTAGAAATTGCGCAGACTCAAGCATATCTAGAAGAAAGTTTGAAGGCTGCTGAAGGCTATGTAACAGTGCGTCACCGCCATTTAGATGCCTTGCATCGAGTGCTCCCCATACTTGAAGAGTTGAGGCAGGACATCTCCGATACTTCCCTACAATACCAATCACTGCCAACGTCTTGCTAGAGTAAACGCGATCAAACAAGACACTTCTGCCCTGAATGAGCCCAAGCCTGATAAGCAACTTCTCGAAAGGCTAAAAGCTAGTAAGCGCTGCGAGCCGGGTTTAGGTATTTCGCACTTCAGTGACTCATTACTTGAATCTGCTTGACCTACGCAAACACGTGCTTTGGGGCTTGATGCGGCCTTCAACCAGGTTAGCTGTAATAGAGCTTCCGGCCACAATAGTCAACGCTCGCAATCCATTAAGCGCCCGTCGTCGTTCCCGTGCAAACACGGACATCTTTTCCTCGCCTCTCTTAACCATGATTGCATCAAGTGATCGCTTTCTCTTTCGATTTGGGGAGATATCACCCAGCACCCTCCGTGACTTGACGATTTCCGCCCGTTCAAAGTCAATCAGCATGACTTAGCTACGTTCATCATTCCATAGTATGTTGCGGGGCTCAAGATCCTTGTGCAAGACACCATAATTGTGGATTGCTCGAGCTGCACAGTCAATCTGTCGAGCAACGACCGTGCCGTTCTGACTGGTAAGGTGCTTGGATATGCGTATTCCTCCAAAACTCAAAAACATCATGTGAACAAGTTTCGTTATTCCTTCATAGAAATAATGTGTCTCCAGGTCTAGGAACTGGTACGTGTACACCCTGTACAGGTCGAAGCTAATTGTAGACAGAGGCCTCCCACTGAAGACGCGAAACGAAATGGGCTGGGGTAGCCTTCGCAGCTACCGTGTAGCCGTGAGATCGCAGCCTAACCCCAAAATAGAACGCCGCAAGCTCCAGGACGCCCGACAGGCCTGCAGTCGCTGTCTAGATCCCTGTAAGAAATCCAGGTAGGCCAATCTGATGGCAGCCTCTCCCACATTCGGACACAGCATCGAGCGTACCCCCATTGACCAATCCGAGCAAGCACTTTTGGGTGCAGTACTTTCGATCATGTACGAAAATGCCTGAGTGATGACGGCAGCTATTAAGCGGCGGTATTGATCGCGCAGAGGATTAGGGTCGCGAGCCCGAACCACATCGTCCAAATCCATGTCCTCAAGGCCCTCGTAGATGTAGTCGAGCGGAAGCTTGTGCGGTGCTTTATATTCAATAATATTTTCCACGCTGGTACTGTAGACGCAGAACTGATCTGCACGACGCGAGGACCGTGTCGCTCCTGCGCGAATTGCGACAGTTGATTCCCTGCTCTTTACGTCTCTGCTTCCAAATTGTTTGTAATCCGGCGATGCGTCGGTGAAGTTGTAATGACGAAAGGAACGACAGCATGGAATGACCGTAGAAGCAGATGTACTCGATAAGCACGTTGAAACTGAAGTTACCCGCGGACGTTAGCAGCCAAGTCAAAAGTAACTTTTCGGCACGGAGGTTTTTCGTTACGCAGGGTGTCCTTCAAAATTTATTTTTAGCCAGGCGTTTATTCTAGCAGGACGTTTATTTTAGCAGGTCGTTTATTTTAGCAGGATGTTTATTTTAGCAGGGCATTTATTTTAGCAGGTCGTTTATTTTAGCAGGTCGTTTATTTTAGCAGGACGTTTATTTTAGCAGGACGTTTATTTTAGCAGGACGTTTATTTCAGCAGGATGTTTATTTCAGCAGGATGTTTATTTCAGCAGGACGTTTATTTCAGCAGGACGTTTATTTCAGCAGGACGTTATCATGACGCTATCGCAGGATGTGTGCGGGGCACTGCTCGCCATTCACTTTGCATCGATTGCCGGGAACATGACATTACCTGGAATGCGGGCCGGCAAATTGATAGAATCATTCGTCGCACAAAGAAACGAGTATGCAAGGACGCAAGTAACTACTCTACACACCATCAAGCCTATCTCAAGATCGAGCCCGGACTATGCATGTTGTTGCCCGTATCTACGGAAAACGGAAAGTCGCACGGCGAAGATATGCAAAACGAATTGTATTAACATTTCAAAAACAAATTAATCTACGAACATAGGCCAATTAAGAACATAAGAACTATCTTGCCTAAAATATCCGCCTTTGTCAGGGATACTTATCCGACATGTAGGACATGTCCTCGCTGTTTTAAACCATTCTTCGATGTGAGACTTGCAGAATGAATGGCCTGCTTGATGTTATCTCTGTTAGAGGAGAAAGAGTTATGTCATACCACAGGGCAGATATCCACATCCTTGGCTCGGTAGTACCTCCTCTAAGCATAATGTACAGGCGGCACCATAACATTTGATTGCACCTGGCAAACCAGTGTGGTGGCATTTCGCCTTATCGATTACAACCTTAGGGAGTATTGTTTCCTTGTGTAACATTATACCGAGTACCGCCTCTTGAAGGATGCTGACGCCACGTGCGCGAATTTGGTTCAGGACGGGTCGAACTGTGCACTGATTGCAGTAAATCTATCAAGTTTAGTGAGATGCAAACAGTGTCAAGGGATAGAAACCTACGCATTTGCAGAACGGAAAAAAGTAGACTATCTGGGTATCAGAGATTGCCACCATGCAGCCAGAACAATGCATTTCCAGCAACTCATCGTGTTGCTCTTCTGTTGTTTGTTAGATTTGGTCTTCCTTGGACGAGCTCTCACCTGCCTACGCGTCTTCTTTTCCTTTGGCCGGTTGGAACCATTTGCGATTCATCGTGTTGCTCTTCTGCTCTTTGTTAGATTTGGTCATCCTTGAACGAGCTCTCACTTGCCTTCGCGTCTTCTTTTCCTTCGGCTGGTCGGAGCCGTTTGCGAGGTCGAACTCATGTCTGAATCAGATTCGATCAAGACCAGGTCGGCATCCATATTGGCCATGCTGAGATGAGGAGAGGATTGAAGATGATGCTTTAAGGAGCGAGGAAGACGTCTATATATACAAAATTCACCCTGTCCCACGTGATGACTGAAGCGATGGCGGTCTTCTATATCCTCAGATATCGCCAAATTGCCGACAAATTCACGCCGGTACTCCGGAGTCATAGAAACGTCTAGCGGCACACGTAGAATTGCGCACAGCGAGCGACATAATACCACACAGACAGGAAGGGTGGACGAAAATTGCGATCCGCTTTATTCGGCAGAGCAATTTCTGGGCAAAGTACACAATTATTCATAGTAGAGAGAATATGTAGTAACCATTCGCCACAAAGGGCCGTATTTTAGGTCGGATAGTAATTATTCACGTTCTTAGTTGTCCCATGTTCTTTTCGTTTTTCAAAGATATCGCGATGAAACGTCCGCCTAGAATCAATAACTCTACCTCACAAAATTGTTAGCGTAGACAGAAAACATTAAAATTCCTTCTAGGCTCCTTTTTTTACGAACCATTCACTGAAATAATTATGATCGAAAACATCAAGGCATCACTCGATATCTGGGAATCTAACCAAGAGAATTTCACCCAAGATCAATTCATAGCACTGCTACAAACAATCGATAGGTTGAAGGAGGAAATTGAAAAGTCTTTCAAACGTCGTTACCCAGATGGCACTCAAACGACCCCGCCAAGGAACAAGAGAAAATCAAGAGCAACAAGTTCTGGACGTGTTAAGCACCGTCGCATTGATCCAACACCTGAAAACCCCATTCAAATGGACAAGATATCTGCCGATATAAGCAGCGAGAATAGCCAGCGCAGTGAGAATCAGGACCAAGGGTCCGATGACAACCAACACTCCAAATCTGGAAATGAGGAGCAATCTCTTTCACACGTCGAAGTGCAATCCAGAGAATTAGATGCATTTCTTTTTGAGGAAGATAGCGACATGTCAGAAGGAACACCAGAGCCTTTTTCCGCTCAGGATATTGCGGAGTGGATGGAATTAGCTCAGAAGATCAAGTTCTGCCTGCCAAATGAGTTTTCCCTGCCAATAGCCGACGGTCAAGAAACTATGGAAGAGCTGCTTCTCCCACTTTTCCAAGCTTCATCACTGTCATCACGTCTAATATGCGGAATACTTTACTGCGTCCTTCCTGGAATACAAGTTATCGATTTCACCTCCCGGGAGCATGAAATTACCCTATGTCAAGAGTTCTCGGAAATCTTTGTTGCTGTCGTATGTTCACAAGCGAAGGTACACCTTGCATTCGGCCAACCTAAGACTAAAGGAATTGTTGTTATAGGTGATAAAAGTCACCCTTTCAAGGATTGGGAGGTTGAAT